AGACCAGTGGAGTAGAATTGAGAACCCAGAAATCACTCCTCAGGCTTATAGCTATCTGATATTGAACAAAGGCAACAAAAATCTACATTGGGAAAAAGACTGCCTCTTCAATAATTGGTATTCAGAAAATTGGATATCCATATGCAGAAGAATGAAACTAAATATACATCTCTCACCATACACTAAAATCAACTCAAAATGGATTAAAGACTTAAGTAGAGGACCTGAAACTGTAAAATTACTAAGGGAAAATATAGGTGAAACATTTCAGCAATTAGGTCTGGGCAAAGTCTGTATGAACATGAGCCCAAAAGCACAAGCAGCAAAAGAAAAAATAAACAAATGGGACGATATTAAACTAAAAAGTTTCTGCACAGGAAAGGAAACAATCAACAGAGTGAAAAGACAACCTACAGAGTGGGAGAAAATTTTTGCTAACTATGCATCTGACAAGGGATTAATACCCAGAATATACATAGAACTCAAGCAACTATTCAGTAAAAAAGCAAATGATGCAATTAAAAAGTGGTCAAAGGAGCTGAATAGACATTTTTCAAAGGAAGACATACAAATGGCCAACAGATACATGAAAAAATGCTCACCATCACTAGTCATCAGGGAAATGCAAATTAAAACCACATTGAGATACCACATCACTCCAGTCAGACAGGCTATAATCAAAAGATGGTGAATAACAAATGCTGGCAATGGTGTGGAGAGAAGGGAATGCTCCTGCACTGTTGGTGTGACTGTAAATTAGTACAACCACTATGGAAAATAGTATGGAAATTTCTCAAACAACTATGGATAGGTCTTCCATACGATCCAGCAATCCCTCTTCTGGTTATATACCCAGAGGAATGGAAATCATCATGTCAAAGAGATACCTGCACTCCTATGTTAATCACAGCTCTGTTTACAATAGCCAAGATATGGAACCAACCTAAATGTCCATTGATGAATGATTGGATAAGGAAAATGTGCTATATATACACTATTAATACTACTCTGCCATAAAAAAGATTGAAATACTCCCATTTGCAACAATATGGATGAGCCTGGAAGAACTTATGTTGAGTGAAATAAGCAAAGCACAGAGGGATAAATACCACATGTGCTCACTCGTATGTGGGAGCTAAGAGAGAAAGGAAGGAAGGAAAGAAAGACCACAGTAGTGCAGTGGTCTTACAGAGGGAGGGAACATTCCTAGGGCTACAAAGCGGAGTTGGGGGGGGAGGGAGATTGGGGGATAATTGGGTGGGGACACAGGGTGAAAAAGTAATTTGTGGTAATGGGTATGCCCCCAGTATGAATCTGGCCCTCATATCATGAGCATGAGGGGTGACAATTAGCTTTGTATCTCATGAATATTCTTAATAAACAAACAAACAAAAAACCAAAAATGTTACAATTCCACAGACCTTCCTTGCTTTAAAGAAACTTAAAGTCTGAGCTGAACTTTTGAATATATATCCATAGAAGTGCACACACTACATAAATACTGTATTTCATTATTATTTCCTTCATGCTCACCTGCTTGTGGTAATCAATATTAATATTTTAATATTACTATTTCTATGTTTATATATATGCTTGTGTCAAATCTATATGGGTGGATAAGTCATCTTTTTTCTTTTTACTAAAAACTGATTTCATATAATACATATTATTTTGCAAAGTCTTTTTTAAAAATTTAAATTGTTGAACTTTTAAATTAATTTATTAATATTTTTTGACATTTTATGATGTTGTGGAGCGGTTCGGGGGCAGGGGGAGAGGGGAAAGGGGGACGAAATAGGGTGGGAGAAGGAGGAAGGAAGAGGAGTGGGGTTGAGTCCCATGGCACCCCCCTCATTCCTGTAGGGTAGGTCAGGGGGCATCCTGCAGTGGTTTGGTCATTGCTGGGCTGGGTGCAGATGTCAGGGGGGTGTGGCTGAAGCCCTTGCCCCCCACTGCCCCAGTTTGGTAGCCCAGGGCACTTCCTGCAGTGGCTCAGTGGTCATCGCTGGGCTGGTTGTGGGTGTTGGGGTTCATGGCTGAGTCCCCCAGCCGTTTCTCCTCCCTACTTGGTAGCCCAGGGGACTTCTGGTCCTTCTAGGTTTTGTAGGTGTTCTTTGGTGATGTGAGACATTTACTAGTTAATATCAAACTTTGTCTCTGGTCTGTGGGTGCTTTGTTTTTTCTTCCAGTTCTGTGTTTGATTATTTGCTGTTCCTACCACTTAAACTCTGCTGGAACATTAGTTGTCCCTTGCTTACTTCTCAAATGGGGAACTTCCTGTGGGGATCAGCACTTGAGCTCTGTGGTTGAGTTAAATTGCTGCTTTGCTGCTGATTCTCTGGAGAAGGCTTTTTGGGCAGCCCAGGTTTTAATGGTTTTCTTTATAGATAATTCTGGGTCTAGTTAGGTCTGGCACCCCTGGGTTGTGTAGAAACTCTGGTCTGGGCCTGAGTCTTTTCATCAAACTGCACCCCATGCAATTCTACATTCCTGACCAATCTCCACTCACTGGTCCTGCGCTCATAGAGGGCAGATCAGCTGTCCTTGCTATGCCCTAGTGTTTCCCCGGCAGCCTGTCTCCCCCACTGCCCATGCTCCGAACACTTCCCATGGGGTGGACCATGCACTGGTCCCTAGTGATGACTCACTGGCCTCTGAGAGTGGCTCCTTTTTTCAGTTGTTGTGGTTTCTCATTCCCGTGTGGGTCCAGAGGGACCCTAATAGTGGTGTTGCTGGCCTGGGGGCCACCAAGGCCCTCTTCTCCCCTGCAGCTTCCAAGCAACTTCATACAAAGGGCACAGCTGTGGCTTTTGTCAGCTCCTGCTCCATGCACTCACCAACTCCAGCCTTGAAGTGGCCGGGATTCAAAATGGTCGGAGCAGTTCTTTCTTTCTGTCATCATGACTTCTCCTGCCTTCATGCAGACCATAGGTCTCTTCTCTTCTTCTGAGCTCTGGTGGCCCCAGCTTGGTTGTCATTGCTTTTTAATAGTTGTAAATTGGTTGATTTGTGGGAAAGAGTGACACTGGGGACAGTCTATTCTGCCATCTTGACCAGAAGCTCTGCTGAACATTTTTAATTATTTAGAGGCACAGGCAATTTTTTCTGTGAGCTTCACATTCCTATCTTGACTTAATTGATGAGTTTCCTTTGTCTATAATAACCCCAGCCCATATTTTCCTGCCATGATCCTACCCATTGCCCCAGAATTAGCCCTTGCTGTGACAGGTGAGAGATACTGCCCAAGAGACCCAGGGCTTGCTGGCCTTTCCCTTGGAGCAGTAGCTTCAGGGAGATAAAGGTTTCAAGGGTACAAGATTTAAAAGAGACAAAATTAAACGTTATTAAGTTTAATATTTGCAAAATTTAGTCCTTGCTAGAAAGGCAAATGCAAACATTCATGATTGAGCGATATATTAACGCATTTTAGTTGCTTACTGCAGGTAAAACCTTGAGTGAATTACTTGACCTCAATGAGTCCCAAATTCAATGTCTATTAAATGGATACTAATCAAACCCTTATAAAATAATAGTTTAAATATGTGGAATTAATTTTTAATTTTAATATCAATTAGGCTTATAATTTATAAGAATAAAAATATTATATTGAATAAATTATAAGTATACTGATGCCTTCTTTCCTATTAAGATTAAAGAACTACAAGGAAAACAATATGATGGGGAGGTAAAAAAATGATACTTTATCATTTATTATATCCTCGAAAGAGCGGTGTT